GGTGTATTGGTTTTGAGTTGTAATTCATGAGGAGGTATGTCTGATGTAGTAATTGAGTTGAGAAATTCTTGCTGATAAAGATTATGGATGTCGTCGGGAACTGAGTCAAAACTTCGATAAGTTATGATTTCACCTGGTAGTTGATTTAACATTTTACTGTTAATATCGTCGACATACTCATTTTTAGTAGTGAGTATGGCTTTGTCGGTGAAGTAAGAAGCGTTTAAAGAGCGAACAGATAATGATGGGTATATTTCCTCTATAAGAGTTTGTAATGAATTTTCATCATTCCAATTGATTATCATGTTATTTGGTACGCGAATCATATTATCATTGATAGTTTCTTCTGTTCCATTTCCAATTCTCATCAAAAAATTATTAAAATTGGTTGCTTCAGGATTATTCTCAGTGCGCATATTACGATGAAGACGGAATATTTTTACTTTAGACCATAGGGAAGAGGATTTGAAAGTTGCATTTACAATTTGTGCGCGGCTGCCTCGCGGGATTACAGGTAGAATTTGGCGAAAGTCTCCACCTAATACGAATATTTTTCCTCCAAATGGGTCATGGTTTTTCATAATATCTTGTAAAGTCTTATCAAGTGCTTCTATAGAGTAGCGGTTCATCATTGAAATTTCATCTAATATTATTAATTTCGCTAATTTAAATAATTTAGCTAAATTGCTCTGTTTGCTGATAGAGCATGTTGAGTTGGAGTTTATATTTAAGGGTATTTTAAATTTAGAATGAGCCGTTTGTCCTCCTGGCATGAGTAAGGCTGCTATGCCTGATGAAGCCGTTGCGAGTGCAATTGAGTAGGTCGAACGAACTTTAGCAAGTAGACAAAGATAAAGGAAGGTTTTTCCTGAACCTAAGGTGGTTATAAGTTTATTTCAACGGGTTGATAATGAAATTGTAAAAATTTAATTAGTTTTTTAGTATTTATAGTTGTAATGGTAAGCTTATTATTCATATTATTTATATAAAACTGTATATACGATTACTATTGTAATTGTAATAATACCTGCGGGTCCATCGACGAAAATTACGATAGGTTTATTTTTTTCAATACTTTCCATTACAGTATCAAATATTAATTTTTGCTCTTCATTTAATAGTCTAATTTTTTCCAAATCTTCAGCTGATACAGGAATATTTAATTCGTTTAGTATGAGTCTTGGTAGTTCATTTGGAAGATCGTATGGTAGAATAAGTGTAGGAAGATCGAAGTCATTTAGACATTTATGATGTTGTTCGAGAAGATGTTTTATGTGAAGAAGGACTGCGTTGATTCGGAGTTGGCCGTCAGGAATTCCATTCTTTGCGAAGTCTTCTGACATATATATATAATTGTTATCCCACAGAAATCTTATATTATTTGGTTCTCCAAACAATAGTATAGTAACAAATAGTTGTCGCAACGCAGAAGGCATTTGAAACTGAGCCGCTTCATACATAGTTTCATAGTACATTCGTTCTGATTCTATAAGTTTTCGTTTTAATGCGCTATCTTTGAACGTTGAACATTGGTAACCATTAATTATTTTTAAATCATTAAACGAAGTAGCTCCTTTAACATTGTTGAGAAGTATACGTAAATAATAACGTTCTCCTTCGATCGGATTAACTGTATATATTCTTCCTATCGTTTTTCCCTGGTTATGTTTTGTCCATTTTTTAGCTGTTTGATTCCATACATAATAGCGCGGGAACTCGAGATATGTATAATTTTTTGCTTCAGTATCAATTTTGTTCATTTCAAAATATTCAGTTAGCATAGTTTTTTGATTTTGTTCATCTGAAAGTATATTGCTCAGGTTGGATTTTTCTGAAAACGTTATGTTTTGTTGGTTAGGAAGGTGTATTTGCAAACGAATTACAGAGGGATATATGTGTGACATGTCGAATCCAAAAATTCACCAACACGCTTCGGAAGCTGAAACCCATCGACTATCCAGATACTGACTAATCTCATCTTTGTTTGAAATTTCTAAAGATGCACGATCGTGTCCTTTATATATATATTTATATAAATATTTGACCGATTTAATGCTAGAGCATATTTCAACGTTTATGTGGCAGTTATACTTGAGTGACATGTAGGGATTATACGGGACAACCCAACGATTATCCAATTTTATATTTTTAATTATTACATATCTATTATTATTGCGCCTGCGATATAAAGGATATGAGTCATCACCTTCTCGTGTTTCTTGAATAAAATTTTTTGGATAATGTTTAGCACATATGCCTTTCTTCATACATGGTGCATCACGATTAAAAGATCCACATGGACCGTGAATCATAAAAGAGGTGACCGTTTCGAATAATCTGGGTTGTTTTATTGGGTCTGGTATTTCTGCAGATACAATAGTATCATAATCGTCAGCTTCACGAAGCTTGTCTTCTGGATCAAATATCAATAATAAATGCGCATGCGGGAGTCCACGCTTCTGGAACTCCACTACGTGCATATGTGCAATTATACGACCAAGAATGCCTTTGATATAAAGATCTTTTTTAAGTTCTTCTAATTTTGCTTTAAAAATTCGAACTATATGCATATAAACAATAAATTGTTTTTGTAGTTAGATTTATTTGATTTAAAATATATTTTTATTTTTTTTTCGATAATAAATTTTTCAGGAATTATCCGTAGACAAAAGTTATATTTTACCTGTAAGATCTGGTCTATCTTGCGGTGTTTGCATTGACATTAATTCTGATGTGATTTCGGGCCACCAAGGATTACATGTAATAGTGATAAATAAATCTGGCCTTCCATATGCTTGCACTAATGCCATTGCGTCTTGATATCTCTGGTACATATCGCGAGGGCCTCCTATAAAGGATGAAGGTAAAACAATGTGGCGTCCCACTTCTGATGTGTTGTTTAATCCGGATTGGAAGCAATCTTGTAAGCCTTGGTATACTTCTTTACGTATTTTATTTTGTGTAAATCGTAAGTAATTAAGACGTGCACATTCTATCTTAACATAATTATCAACGACGTATTGTTGAAAAAGTCGACCACCCAAAAAAAGTATGGCAAGTGGTTCACGAAAATGCAATTTATATGCATAATATTGTCTGGCTGTAACTTTTTTTTGTGATTCATATTGTAATATATTTGGATGCCAGCCATAATCGCCTTGAGGGAAAAGTAGTGGATATTGCATTGGGTCATATGACCCACTTAATTCAGAAATTCTTATTAAATCTTTAGATTGTGATTGCACAATTATATCACGTTCTGCATATTCTATGGAGTTATTACCTTCCACCCAGACGGCGGCAACCTGCGAGGCTGTCGGTTTGTTGTAAACACGTTGGTCTAAACCATGATCAGCTCTTATAAGCAAGCAAAGTTCAGCTATATTCATATAAGATGATATAGAGCGAAAATTGATAATAAAAGGATTTAATTGATTCAACATTAATTTGATAAATTCTAAAATATCTTGACGAAGTTGAGGCATAATGTAAAGTCTATTAGCCGTTTCAAATTCAGTATCATAGATGTATAATTGGAGAAATTTCGGTATTCCATCTATTGGAAGCAGAGATCCAATTAAGTGGTAAATTCCACCTTGTGCCCTAAACGTGTAAACTCCATCTTTACCTATAAAAAAGTTACTACTTAGTTAAGTATATGGGTTTTTTTTAAATTAAATCTTATTTACCATTTGCAAGTTTTTCATCCAATTTTACACCCATCGAGGTAAATGCAAAAGCGCTATTGTAAGCTCTAATATTTACACGAAAATTTTTCCCTATATTATCGCATCTCAAATATAAATTTCTTAGTTCTGTAATATCGTCTGTCGATGCTAGTCTATGATTTATGTATTAGTAGCAATTAGTAGTAATCAATTAATAGTTATAGATGATACAATGCCTAGGCTGTTCAATAGTAATAATTAAGCAATTTACTTAATTTTTCCCGATTTACAACACATTTCTTGTGTTTCAGTCAAAAAAAGCTTTGCGTTACAGTATGAACAAATCCGAACATCCGTAAAGCAGTGTTGAATAAAATCTGTCGTTTCTTGAAAATTACGGCCAATTTTATAATAGCGTTGCTGGTTTTTTGTCGAAGGTTTTTGTCTAAATATTTTCATTCGGTAAGCATTGGCAGTTCGTTGTTCCCTAGCCGTCTGTGATTGAAATCTACGAAGAGGTGGCATCCTTAATGGAAGTATACAGGAAAGAGGTAAGACCTATAACAGAATAAATTTTTGTACGATAGTATAGATTAACGGTCAAACATAAATTATTTAAGGGGTAGTTCGCAGCTAAAGGGTAGAAATTTCATAGTAAAAATCGGCGGAATTACTTATAGAATTTTAATAGT